ATCACATAAAAACGAAGCAACTTAAACAACTTACATTGAAAGAAATGTTTAATAAAGTAAACAAATAAATATTAAGCTTTTTTTTTTTTTTTTTTTTTGTAAATTTTGATACCCTTTAGATCATAATTGTTCTTTATTTCATAAATTATGGTTTCATATTTTTAATTTTATAATTTCTGCATGCCATCTTACCAGATTTAAACTGATGATTTATAATGCGAAAAAATCGATAATCCGGAATCGACGAAGTACCGACGAGTCCGGATTAACCGGAAGTACCGACGAGTCCGGATTTTGAGTGTATAAATTATAATAATAATAAAGTATTATATGAAATTAACCTTTCGTGTAAATTAAAACATCAATCTTAGATAGTTATTTACTATTATACTTCTTTTCTTGCGTTAGGGTTGCCGCAATTATTTTTGGCAACCCTGGCATCAACAATAGTTTGGGATTTTTTACGGCCCTCAAAACCAAATAGTACCATTTAAAGTTTTATTTGAAACTTTCCTATAAGCCTTCATTCCCTTAATTATCAGTGCCTGAATAGTTAAATGTTGTAGCGCGTGTGAACGAATGCAAAATTTCTATTTTGAAAAAAGTAGTTAAAAGCCGAGTTAAGAGAGCGTTATCGGCTTTAGCTGCCGTCTCTGCCATAGGTACGTTTGCTTATTGCTGGTTCAAGTGGCTTATATTACATTGCTTTGCTGCCACTAGTTTAGAAGGGGGTTGAAATTACGGATCTCGCTGAGCTCTGTAGGTTAGTTTTATCACTTGTTAATAATTCAACTTTCAGTTTTAATTATCTGACTTTCAGTTACCGCCCAGGTAAAGTTGAAGTTTGTTAATAAAGGGTACATGAATATATTTATATAGCCATTTCTGCAGATGCAAAAAAATGTGATTTTTCTCGCATAAAAAGCATCACTTAGTCTATTCATATAAATTGTTGCAAATACAAATTTATATATTAGAAGCTACACAACAAATAAAAAATTATAGTTAATGTAAAAAAAAATTGCTGTTGAACTCTTCATAAGGAAAAAGAAAATTGATAGCACTTCAAAATCCATAAAATAATCCTTTCCTGTGTTGAATGCTCCATATATCTTGGGACTATTTTCATTTCTAAATTAACAAGAAAATTACATATTGCATGTGCTCTCACAAAATGCCACCAAAATTCCATCAAGTATTTTAAAAATGCTTGATATCCCATGTTTAAAACATAGCCACTAACTGGATTAAAACATACTGCAGTAGAAGACCTACAAATGGAAGAAGCCTACAATCAAGTTCTATTTCCATATTATTAAACTTCCAGAAACTATGAAATTCTAAACAGTATTTTACAATATTTAACGAATATTGTAAACATATCGTGAAAAATCTGGCACACAGAGAATTTGGAATTTTTATCAAAATATCACCTAGGTCTTTCATACACCATGTAAAAGCTATGTATTTTTTACAAAATATGGATTATAAATAACATTGATTAGATATTATTAAAATGCATATATAAATCTCAAATGTTCAATTTTTCATAAAGGTTTTTTTTTTTTTTTTTTTTTTTTTTTTTTTTTTTTACAGATGAGTGAAAATAATATAAAAAATAAATAGAGCGCTAGGAATTGATGTTACACACAATTCATGGACCAACTTCAATATCAATTGTCAAGAAGGCTGATTATTATATTAAATCAATTAAATAAGCAATGTATAATTTTAATTTAAATATAAATTTAAGATGCACTATAATGAATAAATGTCTCTAAGAATGTTGTTTCCCAAAGTAGCATAGATGATGAACTAAAGATCTCACAGCAAATGTTGCCATGCCATGAGCTTTGGATTCTGGCAGCGTAATGGAATGTAACAGCTAGAAAGCATAGGAAGATAACAATATAAATTTTCTGCGAACGGGCTGGCTGCATGGGCGTTTTCGTGGTTTTCCGCATGTGTTACATGTATACGAGCCAGTTTCCCTTAGAAAGTCCTCCACGAAGGCATCCTTCCCCTTAGGCAGATAGCTCTAGTGGGCTTTGCCATAATTAAATAAACCAAACCAAACAATATAAATATTTCTGATCATAACATTTTATACCTTTTTGTTGCCTTTTCTATCCTCGTCAATATTATAACACATATGCCATTTATTTCTTTGGATACTTTTAATGCAACTGTTTAACTCCTATAATGTTTCTCTCAATTCTTACTTTAGTTATTGCTTGTATACTTTTGTCATTTTTGTTTTGATGTGCACATGTATTAAAATAACATAACAATTTGTATAATGCATGCTTCAGTGGGCCAAAAAAATTAAAATAAAAGTAGTGAAATTTCACTACTTTTATTTTATTATTATTTTTTTTTCTTCAAGTAATGAACAATCATGTGATTTATGTACATGAAATGGTACCAAATAATCTTAGATTTTGGGAGGGGATACAATCAGTTACATATTTAACGTTAAAAGATGTTGAGCGTAGGGAAGAAATATCAGATAAATTTCTCCAAACAGGAAAATATTTGAAAAATCTTTCTTTTCATAGAATATGTGTATGCACTTAATAGTTAATAAAATATGAATCATTCTATAAAATGAACTAGCAAATTTTTACGAGAATTTTATTTTTGCAGAATGCTTGAAAGTCAATATTAAATTTGCCAAACCAAACCAAAGATAAGAGGGAAAAATAATTTAAAATATAGCCTATTATGCCTCCTTTAAAAAAATCTAAACTTATTTTTAAATCAGTTTCAATTTTTTAAAAATCATTTTTTTTGTGGCATAAAGACAACAGCAGCTGATCCGTGCTTGCATGTACCACGCATGTGTTTCAGGAATTAAATAACATGCTTCATTTAACTGTCATTTCGCAGAAACAGTACCTACCTGCTCTTAAAATGTAAATAAAAGTCCTAAAGGTTATTCTTTTTTCACATATTCAATTTCCTGTTTATTTAAGAACAGAACATTACCTATCAGCCATAAAGTTAGTCACACAATTTTTGCCAATTTACAAAGTGAACTTGAATACAAAGTTGTTACAAAGTTGAATGGATTAAGATTAATAAGCGTAAGATAAGAAAAATATTAAATAAAATAAATGCTTGTATAGCTTTGAAGTTTCAATCTCGTACAGAGAAGGGTTTTTACATTCATAAATCAAAGCTGCTAATGAAAATCAAAACTCTTTATATTCCTCATACAAAAGTCCTATAATGCTCTTTATTTACCGATTATATAGATGAGATTTAAATTAATGTAATTAACAATTAATTAGCAAAAATGCAGTCACCTGCTGGTATGGGATCGCCTGCTCATATTGGATAATATAAATACAGTCAAAAGTCGTTAATTCGGACACCCATAATCCGGAATCATCTATAATCCCGACCTCAAAGCCACAAACTTTCTGCGCATGCGCGTAAGACCTTTACGGCTGCGAATATGCGTGTGCGCAAGCGCATAATACGTTTACGCATGCGCATTTAATGTATAACGGACAGTATAAGCTAAGCTAAAATTATATAATTCAGTTAATGTTGGAGATTGCGTTGTTCCTTAATCTTCGAATTGGATCCGGCTTATTATTTTTTGCAGACTCTTAGAGCAATTTTATAAAAGTAAGCTTGAACTTTCGATTATGTCAAATAGAATTTCCGATATATATTTACTAATATGTAAAGGATCTACAAAGTGAAAGTATGTTTCGAAGTCCATTAAACAAAAAGTGGAATTGCTGCAAAAAATGGATAAAGGCATATCCTACGTTTCTCTAACCATTCCGAAATCTGTTTATCAATTTCACGCTGCTCAGCGGCGGGGGGGGGGACGCCGCGGCGCGCAATGAATTGGAAGTTGATCTGTCAGCACTATCCTTATCTTCAGGGCAGATGTTTTTATTTTATTTGGCTTATAATTCCTTACTAAATGTAGTATTTCATCTCGATATACTCCGTCTTTGATATGATTTAAATCAAATTCCTCATCACTATAATTCGCTTCCGATAGTGAAGAAAGAGACACAGAGGTTATTGAAAACGGAAAAATTTCGATTGACAAATCAGTCGGTATTCTCGACACAGCAATTATAGGACTTGAACAGCGGAACTTTGTAACTGAACAAGAAATTATATCTGTTTATAGAATTAAAGAGAAAGTATTATCATATAAAACGAAGCAACTTAAACAACTTACATTGAAAGAAGTACTAATTCAGAAGTCAAACAACAAAAATCAGCGTAATATTTACAAAATTTTCACAGGACTAGTTTCGATGGTTTTACCGAACCACCATCTTCAGCTGCAAAACCGCAAATGAACCAGATAGGAAATTATTTACAAAGTTTTCACAGGACTAGTTTCGATGGTTTTAGCGAACCACCATCTTCAGCTGCAAAACCGCAAATGAACCAGATAGAAAATGTTTCCTATCTGGTATTGTAAATATAACGCTTATTTTTATTTGTTTGACTTCTGAATTAGTATTTATTCGGCGTGTTATTGTGTCTTAATTATTGAAAGAAGTGTTTAATAAAGTAAACAAATAAATATGAAGCTTTTTTACTTTTTGTAAATTTCATAAATTACGGTTTCATATTTTTAATTTTATAATTTCTGCATGCCATCTTACCAGATTTAAACTGATGATCTGTAATCCGGAATCGCCGAAGTCCCGACGAGTCCGGATTAACGACTTTTGACTGTATTTGCATTCAAACAAACTTTTGCACTATTTACAAACGGAAATTTTACACACAATTTAATGGTACACAGTATATTGAATGAAATTAGCCACTTAATTTTTACGGAAAACTAAGCTAAGTAAATATAGCACCACTAACATATATTCGTTAGTATTTCAAGCGATAGCAACATAAGGAGGCGGTCTTCGAAATGAGCAATTGCGAGCGCTTGGATGCAATCCAAAGTGAGCATTTGGGAGTGCTTGGACGAAATCCCTTTTACCCTCTGTTTATTCCGAAACCGGGTGATGAGCGAAAGTGAGGTTTGCGGTCTAGACGCTTGTAGTAAAAATACGCGAGAAAACTAGCGTCTGAGGGCCTGGACGCTTGTGTATATATGGGGCGCAAGGAACAGAAATGAAGTCAGAATAAAGGGAAAAATCAACTTTCTGTTCGGTCTCTTTTAAAATACTCGGCAACAGAAAATATTAATTTGACTTCTACATGGCTGGTAAAGGTGTTGATTTAGAGCTTAAAAAGGTATTTCGAAAGGCGTATTGGTATTGTTCTGCTATCGGAACCGGATTCAGAAGTGTATGAAGGTGTGTGTGTGTGTGTATATGACTTTTGCAGCAATTGCGCAAGTAGTAGAATAACTCGATTTCGCACTAAGTGAATTTAAGATCATACAACATATATGTATATATGTATACACAGGCATGCATTCGTACTTACACACACACACACACATATATATAGGTGCATACATTTTTGAACCCGGTCTTGATAAAAATTATTTTTAAGATTTATATGTTTAAAATTCTTGTCTATATTAAAACACATTATATGGAAAGTTACTAACTTTAGAACTGAATATTTTTCATTTATATTGATCGGTATAAATTTGTATGATTTCAGATGTATTTTTAGTCCTTTCGAAATGGAAGAATAATATTTTGATTATGTCATTTGTACTCTGATTTTTGAACGCTGTAAAACTGTAGGTTTTTTTACTTCCTTCCTAACTGATTAACGCTTTTTTTTCCTCTCTTTTCTTTTTAAATTAATACCCATAAGTGATACGAAATGAGGTTTGTCAGATGTCTTTTTTTTATTTTTATTTTTTTTTTTATGAGATATTTCACTGGTTTGAAATAATATCTTCAAGATGAAAGTTTACTGGTGTTATTTTCTCAAAATAAAATTTGTTGGTTGATAGGAAATGAGGTGGATTCTTCTTTTCTAATTTTGGAAAACATTTTCTTCTGAAATTCTGCCTTTGTTGCAAACCATTTTCTCCATGTCTTTGTGCCATGTGTCATTCTTGTCCACAGCTGGTAGTTTGGCTTCATCTGGTACCTTTCAAGACATTTATTTATCTGGTGACATGTGTGCAGTCATTTTGTCTGTCTTTCAGGCAGAAATTTAGAAGGATTGTCTTGTTTTCCTGAAGTATTTTAAGTTGAATATCATAATGAATGTGCATGGAACATTTTCTTTCGTAGCTAGAAGAGGTGATGCGCCGAAAATGGCATTGTTCATGTAAATGGAACGATTTCTTGTTTTCCTGAAGTGTTGTGAATTGAATATCATGGTGAATATGCATGGGAGGTTTGTGAAACATTATTTTATAAGGGTTAGTGATAGGGATCATTGAGGCAAGTGAGAGTAACAAGATGGTAAATTGATATATGAAGTTAATTTGTGAAGAAAAATGCTTTTTACATTACAGATTATTCAAAGGACTCGCTACAAGATTTCAATAAGTACATGATATTGCTATACTGTCTATACGCTATCGTAACTTTGAAATGAAAAACGAGTATCAAATAAATGATGATGATGGTATTAATTAGAATCAGTTCCTTAGTAAGAGAGAAATATGTTAGAGTTTAATTTCCCAAACAGGGACATGGTGGGACAGTTCTTTTCGACTTAAGCAATTTTTCTATGATAAATCTCTAGAACCAAGTTTCAGATATTGCAATACTATTGTGAACATTCTATACAATTGGTACTGGTAAATGCAAGAAGAGTTTTCTGAATAAAAAATGTTTAAGTACTCAAGACGTATAAATACATATTCTACAGTTAAGAAATACTTCTATTCTGTTTACATTCTGTTTACATACAGCAACTAAAAGCTGTGAAATAGACCTCAGCAATGCCATCAGTGATTGTGCAGACAGAAAAACAAGCAAAATAATTATACATAAGAGACAACTCTCCTGGTTTTACCGGGAGACAGGATCACATAAACTCCTGTTTTTAAATTTTTAGCCTGAACTAAAGAAAATGTTTCCCAACAGTAAATGAAATTTATTAAATTAACAAAAATTATGTATATTCCATTTGTCTGCTCCCCTTCCCAGTGATTTTTAGAATAACTGGTTAAAAATTTTATTTGATCTTAAGTGTCTTTACCTACTGTAAACGTCTGTAAAATTTTGTATGAAGATTCAACAAATGTTTAATTAATTAGTATATGTATTTAATTTTTTTTTTTTTTTTTTTTTTTTTTACATTATGCAATATAGGGTACATTACTAAATTTATCCACATAATAGTATGTACATGAATTATTAATTTTATTTTCATTATATATAAACATACTTTGGTAAACTAAAGCTTTTCTTTTCTGCTTAGAATTTATTCAGTAGAAATTTATAAAATGAAATTAGCCAGTTTTAAAATTTGTAATGTCTAATTGAATATGAATGTATTTAATTAGATGTTTTAAGTCTTAAATTGGCTGACATTGTTAATTTAGTTCTGATGTAAAATATATTTTAATAAATCTAAATAGTTCAGTGTTAAAAATATATTTATGGGTGCCCCTTGGCGAAAATCTGCGATTTTTGGCGATACATGGATGTCGACTTTGTGCAATTCTTTGACTCCCAAAATCACCGCTACACAAAGACAAGATAACAAGACAAAGAATTGCACAAACTCAGTATCCAGGTACACATCGACCTATTTTCACTTTAAAAAAAAAAAAATCAGAGAATCGCACAAACTTGGCATTGTGCACTCCCTTGACTTTATCCATGTACACATCGATCTATTTTCTCTTTAAAAAAATATCAGAGAATTACACAAATTAGGTATCACACACTCTCCCTTAATTTTGTCCATGTACACATTGAACTATATTCACTTAAAAAGTCAAAGGAGCAGCCAACAAAAAATATATAATCTGAATAAACTACATTTTAAATCAAACAATGAAATAACATAGAAAAGGAAATTCATCTTTGTACTATACAAGGGAAATATCCACTTACCTTATTTATAAATTAACGTGTCTTCAGACAAACAAAATTCCTTAACGGCATCCAAAAACCTCCTAAAGTTATCTGAATTAGAATCTGTATACTGGCATCGCCACATAAATTCGCTAAAGTAAGAGTAAAAAATATTCTCCTTAGTGACTCCAAAGTTCAATCTTGTGCATTTCCTTTCAACAAACAGGATGCTTAATAATGGCTACTAATTAAACCTTCATTTACACACCAGTCAATTAATGCTGTTTTTCCCTTTCTTTCCAAAAACTAAATATAAATAATTCAGTGGTAAAAATATATTTACGGTTGCCCCTTGGCGAAAATCGGGGATTTTTGGCGATACATGGATAATGACTTTGTGCAATTCTTTGACTCCAAAAATCACTGCTACACAAAGACAAGATAACAAGACAGAGACTTGCAAGAACTCGGTATCCACGTACACATCAACCAATTTTCACTTTAAAAAAAAAAAAAAAAAACACAAATTCGTGCCCTTGACTTTATCCAAGTACACATCGACCTATTTTCACTTAAAAAACATCAGAGAATTGCAAAAACTAGGCATCGTGCGCTCCCTTGATTTTGCCCATGTACATATCGAACTACATTCACTTATAAAGTCAAAGGAGCAGCCAACAAAAAATATATAATCTGATTAAACTACATTTTAAATCAAACAATGAAATAACAAAAAAAAGGAAATTCATCTTTGCACTATACAAAGGAAATATCCACTTACCTTATTTATGAATTAACGTGTCTTCAGTCAAACAGAATTCCTTAACAGCATTATCTGAATTAGAATCTGTATACTGATGTCGCCACATAAATTCACAAAATTAAGAGTAAAAAATATTCTCCTTAGTGCCATTATTGTCCAAAGTCCGACCTTACACATTTCCTTCCTACAAACAGGACACTTAATAATGGCTATTAAGTAAACCTTCATTTACACTCCAGCTAATTAATGCTCTTTTCCCCTTTCTTTCCAAATTGTACAAAACTTCAAATTACTCTTACCACATTCAGCCATTTTACTGTCTAAACTACAAAATAAGCAATTTACATCCTAACCAACACACACCACAAGCCCTTATAAATCTTTTCCTATAATTCAAAATTTACCGCAATCATGCAACTGATTACGACATAATAGGGTTTCTATAACATTCAACTACTCAGGTTACCATAAATGAAACAGCAACTTCACGATAATACAAGGGGCACCCTTCAATCTACTCCAACCAGTTCAGTAACTTGAATCGTGTTATAAAGCCAATTTAATTCAGTTTGGAGTTCTTTTGAAATGGCACCGCCATGCTCACCTTCCGGTAACTAAGGCTGCATTCATACGGGGGCATAAGTGGTTAAAGCTGAGTTCCGTTGCCAAGGCAACCAGTCTATGATACATCACAAAATGTGGTTTAGGGCGTAACCTCTTGGTGTAAGGTTCTAAGTTTTCAACTTTACGGCGAGTTTGGGATAAGCGTTGACCAATCAGAGCGAAACTAAAATGAAGCGGCTTTCTGCAGACGATTTTCCTGTTACATCGAAGGAGACTTTTTTATTTAATATGGAGCACATCGTATCCGAACGAAATAATGAATTGATCTCGCAGGAAGTCTACGATAATGACATACATTTTTTTAATGAGTTTGCATAATAAATTGAAAAATATGGATGGAACTCGTAAAGCAAAAATTAAGCTCAGAATCGTGCACACTGTGTATGATCCTGTAGGTAGATGATTAATCCCATACATTATTTTTCATTTTATTATGAAAATTCTTTAAAAAATGCATGCTTGCAAAAATTTTATTTTTTATGTGTAAATTATTATTACAGTCAAAAGTCTTTAATCCGGACTCGTCGGACTTCGGCGATTCCAGATTATTGTTTTTTCTGGATTATAGATCATCAATTTTAAATCTGGTAAAATGGCATGCAGAAATTATGCTGCTTCCATTGATGATGGCCAAGCATTCTCTGCTATTACACGCATCCTCTGAGACTAGAACAAAGTTTCTATGATGATTTCTCTAGCAGAAATAATGGCACAAAAATTGAATATTCTGTAGGTTCCTTCCCTTATATCTTCTTCAAAGTGTGCTAGAGAGCTGTGCATTTCACATCATTCACAAAACGCGGCAATGTGCGTCTACCCTGAAATTTCATAATATTCAGGCTGCTCCTTGGTGTTGCGTTTTCAGTGTCGGGTAGTATACTTGCGGACAATAGTTAGACAGTTGT